TTTGGGCTGCTTAAGAGGAATTGACAGTTCCTGTGAGTAGATTTGTTCAAGTGCTGTTCCCTTCGTGTTGATACTCAAATGTCAAGCAAAATCCCACAGCCTGGGTAGAGCCATGCACCCAGGTTATAAATGTCCCCTTGCCCCCAGGCTTCTGCTCCTTCACAGAAAGACGTGCTGCTCTGATCCCCATGTGGACTCTGTTGATCTGAATCTGCTGTCCGTGTTACTCCGAGCGTCTTCATCTGCTTTCTGAGATGAAGCCTAGAGCTTCAGGCAGGTCTCACCTGCAGCTCCCAGATGCTCTCCTCTGTGTATTTATCCCTGTGCTAAGGTGATGACTGACCAGAAAACCCAAAGAGAAACACACGTGGAAGGTCCTTCATCCCCCACTGAAAGCCAGCATGTGGTGATGATGACTGAACAGTGTCCTTCTGATTATCTACTCTAGGAATCAGAATAGCGGAGAGCAGAGAGGCTCCTTCTGCAGTGCCCCTGAAACCCGATGGATGCCTTCGAGGATCCAAGCAGCTTTTGATGTCAGTGATCTCCTGCTGCCTTCGCAGCAACTCTAAATACACGGGCAGCAACCGGCTTGGTCTGGCCTGGGAATTCTTTTAAAAATGCCCCCTAAATCTTATCTATTCTACTGACCCCCACCCTGCAACCCCGGGCCAGGATCCACAAGACAGAAACTTAAGCACTGCGATCGGTATGAAACTTCTTTTTCCTCTCCTCAAGAGCTTTCTAGGAGTCTCTTTTTAAGATCAAACAATGGCAGCAAGTGTGTCCCCGAGGGAGAGGTTCCTGGGGAGGGCGTCCCACCTCTGTCCGACCAATGACAGCAGGCCAGACCCTGCTCCCCGAGGAGCCCCGCCACCCTCCAGGGCACGGCAGGTAAGGACCAAGTGGAGATGAGTTTAGACAAACCTCCTGTTTGCCCTGAGGTCCTGGTTTCTGCACTGGCTTTCTGTTCTCAATTAAAATAGCAAACGGTCGAACTGTGGATAAACTTCCCCAGAGGGAGGGCGGAGGGCTTCTGGAAGGCTTGATTTACCAGCATCTCCCTGAGAAGGAAGATCCCGTGAATTTCCGAGTCGTGAGCGGCTTTGCAAAGAGGCCGGGCCTGTCCCAGCACCTCGTCTTCCCGGCAGCCTCTCCACCAAGGCTGCTGCCGCCCATCCAACTTGTGCTTCTTAATTAGAGCTGAGTGGAGGCTCACTCTTCCCCTTAGGGGTCAGTCTCCGAGGACCCCTAGCTACCCTCGAACTTTCCCCAGTGCCTCGGAGGAAGCTCTGGTTTCTCCCACTTTTCAACACTTCTGAATTTCAGAATGGATTTCCCCTCTTCCCAACTCGCTAAAACATACTTTCAGCCTCATTTCAAATAAACCAGAAAAGCAGTGTTTCCTTGGAATTTCGTGGGACTTTATCTTAAAGTTTGAGGCAGAAGGCTTTATCCCTGCCTTTGTCACTGACGAAGAACACGTCCCAGGATGCAAGCCCAATTCTGTGAAGCAAACGAAAATAAGATATCACCAAAGGGAACAAAGTTAAAAAAAAAAAAAGGAAAGAAAGGTGGCAAATAAACTGGGTAGTAGGGACGCTGACTTCTGAAGCCTGATGGGTAAACACAGCAATAACACGGAGTCCCGTTTTTAATAAATCTCTGCTCCTTCCCAAACACTCCACCCTGCAACACCCGTAAATTAAAGAGGCCTGGATGCTTCAGAATTCCCAGAAATGAGTAAGAGAGTCACGCTTTGGAGCGGAGATGGGTCTGGAGCCATGGAGGGAAGCCAAGGCCGCTGAGAGTGGTACCCACCTCCACCCTCCCGCCCCCACCCAGGGCTGGCGGCCTGAGAGGGGACCGACCCAGGGGCAGCCCCTGCTCCAGGGAAATCGGTTCTGAGTTCACAAGTGCTTTTTCAGAGCTGAGGCCAGCGTGATAAAGTGCCACTCCTTCACCAGAAAGAATGTTTGCTTACTATTTCATCATCCCCTAGAGGCGCAGAGGAAGAAAATAAGCGCATCAGTTGTCATTATGACAGGATAAAAATGGAGCCATCATATTTCAATAACACAATGCGATGAGCCGCCCAGCCAGTGATGAGTTATGGGCTCGCCGGCTCGCTCCCGACTGTAAGTTAATATTATCTCCCCAGGATAATTAGAGTGAAGTTCAATTACTGACCCTGAAGTGCCGTGCGGGCCACACCATGGGTTTTGACACAGCTTTTTACACATTTATCTTCTCACCTAACGTGCTACATCTGCATTGCGGCGGTGATTAATCTTGCAGGCGCTCCGAGTGGTACCATTCTTCTCGCATGGATTGGCTGGTCCCTGGAGTCCCCTTGAGCGAGGTGCGAGTGGCTCTATTGCGCTGTTTGGCTGCCAATTTACCTTCCTCTTTGTGTTGGGCTCCTGACTTGGGTCAAATGAGCACTTCCCCATAGGTCACCAGACCCCGAGTGTGGCCAAGCCCAGCTCCCCGTAGACCCGCCAGGAGCCGGCCCCTGGCTGTGCCTGGGCCTTTGTGAGTGGTGCCCACGCGGCCCCAGGGAGAGCCGGGGGCCCCTTGCTTCTGCAGGAGGATCCAGACACCGGGGGCCTTGGTCTTTGGTCAGCTTCCCAAGCAGCCCTGAGCCCCTTTGAAGGCTCCCTGTCACTTGTCGATCTTGCTGAAGCCTAAAGACCCACGCACCCCACCTCCCCCCAGCCAGCTGCTACTTAGGCAGCCTCATGTCGGGGGCAGAGAGGAGCTGGAATGAGAATTAACGGGATACAGTGTGGGGTCAGCAAAGCCACCGAAACAGAAGGTTATTAAGTCAAAGGAACCTTCCGGAAAGCCTTGCATCTGTGACAGCTTGGGATTTGCAAGAAGTAATGAGATAAAAACTTTGAGTCCCTGTATCTTAAACCATTTTATTAGGGTTTGGCCCCTGTGTTTTGGGAAAGGCCTGGGCTTCCAGGCCCATGGGTGCAGGAGGCAGGGAACTGAGGGTGTGGGGCCTGCAGACACAGTACGAGCTGGTGAGGCCAGGGCTGGGCTCTCGGGGGCTGGTGGCCACTCTTTCCAGAATCTTCTGCCAGGGCCACATGCCTCTCAGGGCACGTTCCCTTCACTCGTTTCCTCCTAGCAGGTACACCATATGTTTTGGGGGGACCTGAGTTAAAGAGAATGGGGAGGCAGTCACAATTGCAAGTGTGCCCAGACTTAATCCTGAAATGGTGTCAGCCTTTTGTCTTTAAGACTAATACAAGCAATTGTTTCCAGGGAGCTGGTGAAACTCTAGCTCTTGTTCTGGACCCTGGTGGGTCTGGACTTGAGTCTCAGACTCTAAGCCCACTTTCCTCATTCACAAAACCACTGCAGCTGCCTTTGAGTCATGGCTGGTCCAGCAGAAGCATCCAGAACTGATCTATCTCATAGTAAGTGGTCAGCGGTCCTGCATGGGGCCATCTGCATTAGCCCCTGGGCCCACGGATTTATTCTGGGATCCCATCCACCCCACTGCAAGCCAGTTCTTTGTTTCAGTCAAATTCAATGCCTTAGGTTGTTCAGATATCTGAGATCATTTACTTAAGAGCACCAGTGTGCTCTTAGATAAGCTATGAAAACCTAGTTCTGTCCAGTTTAGCAGCTCAGTCGTGTCTAACTCTTTGCAGACTGCAGCACACCAGGCTTCCCTGTCAGTGATTAAAAGCAGAGACATCACTTTGTCAAGAAAGGTCCATATAGTCAAAGCTATGTTTTTTCCAGTAGTCATTTATGGATATGAGACTTGGACCATAAAAATGGCTGAGGGCCAAAGAATCGATGCTTTCAAATGAAGACTCTTGAGAGTCCCTTGGACAAAAAGGAGATCCAACCAGTCCATCCTAAAGGAACTCAGTCCTGGGTGTTCATTGGAAGGATTGATGTTGAAGCTGAAACTCCAATACTTTGTTCATCTGATGTGAAGAGCTGACTCATTGGGAAAGACCCTGATGCTGGGAAAGATGGAGAGCAGGAGGAGAAGGAGGGGACAGGGGATGAGATGGTTAGACGGCATCACCAACTCAATGCACATGAGTTTGAGCAAACTCCAGGAGATAATGAAGAACAGGGAAGCCTGGCCTGCTGCAGTCCCTGGGTTCAAACCAGTCAAACACACGACTTAGTAACTGAACAACAACAACCAATGTATAAGATGGCTGTTTTAACTCTAGAACCATGTGGAAGAGTCCAGGCTTGATACAGAAAGTGGAAAAAAGTGCTTCAGCCATCATGGCTGATATTACACGAACATTTTGTTATTGTTTCCAATATAAGAATGGAGTATGTGGTTGAACTGATGTCCAGAATGACTGCTGCCCCCTTGAGATCCCTGCCTGAGTGTTCGATGCTGCCTGGATGAGGCCTGGATCCTGGGCTGCAGGAGCAAGTCAGTTCTGCTGGGGGAGAGGGTCAGCACTGCCAAGGTCCTGTCTATGGGGATGGGGTAACCCTGGGCTGGGTGTTGACAAGGGCTGCTGGGGAGAGATCGGAAAGGTCTTTCTCCTCACAGCTGGGGTATGTGTGCCCTTCCGTTGTTGTTGCCATTGCTTAATGACTAAGTTGAGTCCAGCTCTTTGTGGCCCCGCGGGCCGTGGCCCGCCAGGCTCCGCTGCCCATCGGACTTCCCAAGCAAGAATACTGGAGTGGTCTTCACTTACCCCCTGCAGAGGCAGAGCAAGATGGAGGTGGTTGCCTCGCTTCTCCTGGCTTTGATCACCCTTATTTCATGGAGAACAGATTCTGTCCACACCAGCGAGACAAAGGCAGCCACCAAGAGCTTTGCAGGCAAAGGCTGCGCACGCCTTACACAAACCCAACAGGGGCCTCCAAAGAGCCTCAACCTCGCTCCCATGTGCCAAGACCCCGCTCGAGAAAGAGTTCTGCCCAGTGATGGGCAGCAGAGACGCACAGGAAATGTGGTCATGGACCGAGAGACTGGAAGAGGACTCCGATCTGCTCACCATCTGGGCCACTCAGGCCGCATCTCCGGCAGCCATGTGGTGACGCTCCAGCTCATCTCTGAAGCATCCGCCGTATCCTGCTCAGATATCAGAAGGGATCCTTTCCTCCCGAGAGGCAAAGACACTAAGTGGAAGCCCCGGCTTCTCATTCCTTCTGGAAGCGGGGTTAAGAACAGAGGCATCGCCTCAACCTCTCCCCCGGGATACTTTTCTTTGCAAAATTACTCTCGGGATCAAGCTCTTTTTGACGTGGCTGGGATCAAAGGCCCTGAGTCAGCACATTGCAAGCTGCAGGTGAAACACTCGGAGCCTGATGACAGCAGTGACAGATGAGTGAAGGCAAAGCAGCTTTCAAACTTAAAAAAGAAATCGCCGCCTGACTTGCCCAGGCAGGGGAGAGTTCAAATATGCAGGGCGGAGGTAGGGGGCGGGGATTGGGGTCTGGCGGGTGGGGTAAAACGGGGGATGTCCTGTAGCTCCAGGAAGTCCAGGTGTAAAACAAAACACGCACCCGGTGTCCCAGCTGCCCCGCCATGGTCTCCTCACCCCCTGCGTCTTCCCATCACGGACGACGGCGTGGGGCTCCCTGCGGTCCTTTCTCCCTCTCGGAACTGGGCGGGGCTCTCCTGCATCCTGTTACCCTGGGCGACCGTCAGCCATCTTTTTCCCTCCCCGCATCCTTCCCAGGTTCAGACACAACGGCACATTTTCGTTGGGAGATCCTTTGTCCAGGTGTTAGCCTGTTGCTGCTTTGACCCAAAATGCAAACTCATTTTTTTTTTGTTTTTTTGTTTCCTCCTTCGTGAAGCACAGCATCTGTTTCCATTCTCCAGCCGCACTCAGATCCCATCCCGTAAGCTGTTCCCGCGGTTCGCTTCAGCTGCACTTTGAGTTCGCCCTCAGGACATTTCCTTTCTGAATCAATAATAGAATATCTGCCCCCTTTAACGTGAAACAGAAAACTCTTCTTTCTCGCGCAGATGTTGTTGTGGTCGGTGCTTGACAGGGCAGTCTTTTTCTGGGACGCAGAATTTTAGGGTCGGCGAATGGCTCTTTGCGTGGGGTCAGGCAGAGCCGGCTGTATTAGTAACTGACCCAGGTGGGGACCAAGTGTCCTTGTCTCTGCAACTGTGGCTCGGTAGGCCTGGTTCTTCTCTTTGAACTCTGGACCAGGATCTCATAAGGCTCCGGGACACCAGTGTCCAAAGGGCCATCCTTGGAGAGCCGTTTGTGTGACTTTTCCCAGGGAATTTGGCCAAGCCTGGTAAGGAAGAACCACGGGGCTCCCATTGGCCCGACGCAACATACACATCCCTTGACTTGTCCGTATATCGCCCGGGGACCTCACCGAACCAGGGGAGCCAGAGAAAGGACAGGAAAAAGGAAAAGGATAAATGGAAGCTGGGAACCCGGGCGTCTTCTGCGAGCATCACCACACAGCAGAGCATGGGGCGCTCGGAGACATCCAAACCTGCAGGGGCTCAGGCACACCTGCAGACCACAGGGGCGACTGCGGGAGGCCCCCGGGGTGGAGGAGTCCTGCTTCCCAGTTTCCCCACCTGCTCCCCGTTCCTGAGCCCGACCCCCACCCCCGTTTCCTCCAGCATCGTGGCTGGGCAGGAGCACGGCTTCCTCGCCCCGCCCAGGCTGGGGCTCGCTGTGACCTGACGGTGACCGTCTGCGTGCGGCTTCCAGCAGCACTGTGGGCTCCTTGGAGACCTGGCCCCAAGTCCCTGACACTGCTGCCCCATCTTGCCTCCCTGCCTGCTTGCAGGAGACCCAGTCCAGGGCCGCTGCATGGTGCAGGCGCTGCTCCCCGACCCAGTGAGCATCTGGACAGCCACCCCACGGACACCCAGCCTGTAGATGGGCTGATGTGTGAGAGAGAAAGCCTTGCGGAGTTCAGCCTCAGATCTGATTGCAGTGAGGATCTCAGTAACTGAAATAGGGTATCTGCACATCCCGCCACCCTGATGCCTTCCTTCTTAAAGGGCCTGGCTCAGCATGGAGCCCTTGATCTGCCAAAAAAAAAAAAAAGGAAAAGACACTTTGACAACTTCTATTCACAATTAATTTCAAGTTTACTCTGTTCCTGGTACTAAGGAAGATGATTGGAGGAAACTAAAATAAAACCAAAAATGAGTATGGGCACCATTAGTAGAAATCATACCTCAACTCAACTAAATTTTGCTAAAATACTGGTTTTCTTTTCCTCCCTCTCATTCTTTAAAACACAGGCATATGTTTATTGAATCTTGTGAAAAATGGGGAACTAGATTGTCTGCTAGTTTTAAAGTACACAAAATATTATGTATATTGATGGATACATACATGAGTTGGCAATTTCAATAAGTTATTCAGGAAGGTGTTAAGTGACTTCAGGATGTGGTATCCTCTTGAGAAGGAGGTGAGGAGCCTGGATAGGGAGGTGGACCCAAACTTTACTGTGGATTTAAAGCTTTATGGTCATGGCTGCATTATTCAACATAGCCCAGTGTAGGAGCAACTCAAGTGTCCACTGACAGATGAGTGGTTCCAAAATGTGCTGGGTACCTACAGGAGAATATTGGTTTTGTTTTTCAGTCATTAACTAGTGTCCAGCTCCTTGGACTCCAGAACATCAGGCTTCCCTGTCCTTCACTATCTCCCAGAGTTTGCTCAAACTCAGGTTCATTGACTTGGTGATGCCATCCAACCATTTCATCTTCCTCTGTCACCCTCTTCTCCTTCTGCCCTCAATCTTTCCCAGTATCAGGGTCTTTTCCAATGAGCCAGTTCTTTGCATCAGGTGGCCAAAGTATTAGAGCTTCAGCTTCAGCATCAGTCCTTCCGATGAATCTTCAGAGTTAGAATATTATTCAGCCTTAAAAGGGAATGAATCTCTTAGGTATATTGCAATATGAGCGAGCCTTGAAAATATTACACTAAATGGAAGAAGGTGGACACAAAAGCACAAATACTGTATGAGGGCCTCAGAGTTGTCTGATTCAGAGACAGAAAGTAGAAGGTGGACACCATGGGCTGTGGAATCAGGAGTGGGGACTTAGCGTTTAATGGGGTCAGAGCTTCAGTTGCTGGGAAGCCCGCAACTCCTAGAAACATCGTGGATTGAGTAGCCCTCAACAGTCTGAGCTCCCAGAACTGACTAGGGGTGGTGAGGGGGGCTCCCTCCACGCCCTTCCGTTTCCTGCAGCATCTCGTGGGTGGCACAGCCTCACATTCTCCAAGCCTGGCCTGCAGATCTGTTCATGTTGCCCAGTGACCCAGCCCTGCTGGTGGGTCGTCCGTTTCCTTGCTGCCTCCAATTACGTCAACCCCAGCCTCACTGGTACTTGTACAGCTTTGCACTTTCAACGTTCTTATGCCTTTGGACACAATTAAGTCAGCGAAGACTTGAAAACACCTCGAAATTAAGCACAGTTCTGGCAAAGAAACCTGAACTTGGCTGTCATGAGAAGTGACTGACATGCAGAATATGTTTTTAATATTCCTTTCCACATGACAAAGTGAACTTCCCAGGGGAACGGGGAAAGCTGGATAAAACACTCATCTCCGGAATTGGAAAAGATGGCAGAAGATGAAGAAACACTTTGCAAAAATAGCAACCTGAATGTTAAGATTCATGCTTATTCATAACCTTCCTTTTTTCTGAAGAATCTGGCCATGTTGGGACATATCCTTTTCCTAATGCTGTGAGGCTTAAGCTCAGAGACACCGGGAAAAGAATTTCACTGAAGTTTAGAAAGAGATGTGCGATTTGTAGACAGTTAGAACTTCCTCAAAACTTTATCTGGAATTTAGACACAGGTTCTTACAGGTTCATTATTTTTGTTTTCCAGAATGGTCTGTATTCTTTCTTCTGGTCTGGATTAGAGGCTGAATTACTGAAGGATTAGGAGGGAGACTGTTCCAGAAGCCGGAAGTATTAGAAATCTCACACACACAAAAAAAATCTGCTTTGGTGCAATTCCCAGAAAGATCTTAGGGCCTGGAGAGGTTTATGTAGCTGACTGAGTTTGGGATAAACATCTCCAAAATGTTGGGCGTGTTTCCAAAGTGAAATGAAATTTGAAGTCCACCCATTTCACTAGTTATTAAGATAAAGAGAAATCCCCTGTTGAAATTGGATTACACAATTGGTAGTTCTTGCCATTGTTGAAACAGATCTACCCACAAATTTCATGCCTGTCTTCTTTTTTAAGTACAGCTGCTAGAGAGGGAAAAAAATATCCCTTCCTCCTTCCCCCCGAAAAAATCCCTTCCTCCTTTCCCTGACAATTTGTCTAGTGTTGTCACTACTGAGACTGCCAACATCTGATGACATCAATATGGAAAATCTGACAGTTGTTTGGAGGCCGTCTGGGGCTCAGGTAGAAAAAATGGGCCTTTCTCATTAAAATCTTTCTTATGAGACCAAGAAATGGGGTGGGACATGTACGCCATGCATATGGCTGTACCTCCTGATTTTTAGCCTCAAATGTATGGTTATCGTGTGTGTTAACAGAAAAAATACAAATAAAACGAGACATTGCAATGAGTTCCGGATTGCCTTTCCTCCAGCGAGGAAGCACATAAAATCCTTCTCCCTTCCAGGTCCACCTTCAAAGGCCAGGTGCCCACTTGTATGGCTTCCAGTCCTTTCATTCACAAGATAAAGAAGATATCAAATCACCAACATCCCCTTGAATAAAACATGAAACAAACAGCATTTGGAGACCCTGTTTAAAATGATCAGACTCTGCTGACCAGAATCATAATGGCCCTTCTGACTCAGCCCGTGGACCTGTTGCCCATCTCTCTGGGACCTCTGGGAGAGGGGGCCTGTGATCCTGGAATGGTGCCCACGGCCATGACGTGGCATGAGGAAGTCACACCCAGGGATGATGGCGGGTTCAGATTTCTGTTGTCAGGTTAAGCACGGCGAATCCTTTCTAGATACCTTCACCCTTGAGGGAATAAAATAGTCTGAGAGGGACTTCTCTGGCAGTCCAGTCATTAAGACTGTTCATTCAGGATGCAGAGTGCATGGGTTCAATTCCTGGTCAGGGAGCAAAGATCCTGCATACTGTACTTCAAGGCCAAAAAAAAAAATAAAAAACCCGAATGGAATGGGCACCTTTTTTGTTGGAGGAAATTGTCTTGACTCTGAACACCTTCTTTCCTGGGTCTCTGTCTTAGTCCT